ATTTTTTGGGCATTTTTACTCGTGAAATCTTTAAGCGCCTATAACTTTTGAACAATCATCATAGGACATTGATGTTCCCAGATGAAATATTCTAAATCAAAAGATCTTTAACCCAGTATAAGAGTTTTTTAAAATACCTCTCACCGTTCGCGAGATATAGCCCAAAAACTGTTTTAAATTTTCATGTTTGAAACAGTTAAATGCCCATATCTCGGAAAATATTCAAAATAGGGTCATGATGTGTATGAATGAAATATGCGCATTTAAAATATGTATCTGCAGGTGCAAAAATTTTATGATACCTCTAACCGTTCCCGAGATATTCGCTAAAAAACCATTCGCTCCTTTTTACATATTAAAAAAGCGTTTTTCTCGAAAACTATTTGAAGTGCGAACGAAATTTTTTAATAGCATTTTCCTTATGTTATAAGGTATCAACGTTGTGAAAATCATCAAAATCGGAAACAAAAAATTTTCATCCAAAATCGGAATCCAAAACGTGATGCTAGCATCATGCTATAAATTCAGTTTTTCCTTATTTATCGGCAACCGTTGAGAATATTAAAATGCAGTTTTTTTCACGTTATTCTAGCCCACAAGACAGTTCGAACGACGTCTAATTGAAGCTTCTACGTGCCCGGAAGTGTGTGAAAAATTAAAAAAACTAACTAATTTTTCGTCCATTTTTTGGGCATTTTTACTCGTGAAATCTTTAAGCGCCTATAACTTTTGAACAAATCATCATAGGACATTGATGTTCCCAGATGAAATATTCTAAATCAAAAGATCTTTAACCCAGTATAAGAGTTTTTAAAATACCTCTCACCGTTCGCGAGATATAGCCCAAAAACTGTTTTAAATTTTCATGTTTGAAACAGTTAAATGCCCATATCTCGGAAAATATTCAAAATAGGTCATGATGTGTATGAATGAAATATGCGCATTTAAAATATGTATCTGCAGGTGCAAAAATTTTTATGATACCTCTAACCGTTCCGAGATATTCGCTAAAAACCCATTCGCTCCTTTTCACATATTAAAAAGCGTTTTTCTCGAAAACTATTTGAAGTGCGAACGAAATTTTTTATAGCATTTTCCTTATGTTATAAGGTATCAACGTTGTGAAAATCATCAAAATCGGAAACAAAAAATTTTCATCCAAAATCGGAATCCAAAACGTGATGCTAGCATCATGCTATAAATTCAGTTTTTCCTTATTTATTCGGCAACCGTTGAGAATATTAAAATGCAGTTTTTTTCACGTTATTCTAGCCCACAAGACAGTTCGAACGACGTCTAATTGAAGCTTCTACGTGCCCGGGAAGTGTGTGAAAAATTAAAAAAACTAACTAATTTTTCGTCCCATTTTTGGGCATTTTTACTCGTGAAATCTTTAAGCGCCTATAACTTTTGAACAAATCATCATAGGACATTGATGTTCCCAGATGAAATATTCTAAATCAAAAAGATCTTTAACCCAGTATAAGAGTTTTTAAAATACCTCTCACCGTTCGCGAGATATAGCCCAAAAACTGTTTTAAATTTTCATGTTTGAAACAGTTAAATGCCCATATCTCGGAAAATATTCAAAATAGGGTCATGATGTGTATGAATGAAATATGCGCATTTAAAATATGTATCTGCAGGTGCAAAAATTTTTATGATACCTCTAACCGTTCCCGAGATATTCGCTAAAAACCATTCGCTCCTTTTTACATATTAAAAAGCGTTTTTCTCGAAAACTATTTGAAGTGCGAACGAAATTTTTTAATAGCATTTTCCTTATGTTATAAGGTATCAACGTTGTGAAAATCATCAAAATCGGAAACAAAAAATTTTCATCCAAAATCGGAATCCAAAACGTGATGCTAGCATCATGCTATAAATTCAGTTTTTCCTTATTTATTCGGCAACCGTTGAGAATATTAAAATGCAGTTTTTTTCACGTTATTCTAGCCCACAAGACAGTTCGAACGACGTCTAATTGAAGCTTCTACGTGCCCGGGAAGTGTGTGAAAAATTAAAAAAACTAACTAATTTTTCGTCCATTTTTTGGGCATTTTTACTCGTGAAATCTTTAAGCGCCTATAACTTTTGAACAAATCATCATAGGACATTGATGTTCCCAGATGAAATATTCTAAATCAAAAGATCTTTAACCCAGTATAAGAGTTTTTAAAATACCTCTCACCGTTCGCGAGATATAGCCCAAAAACTGTTTTAAATTTTCATGTTTGAAACAGTTAAATGCCCATATCTCGGAAAATATTCAAAATAGGGTCATGATGTGTATGAATGAAATATGCGCATTTAAAATATGTATCTGCAGGTGCAAAAATTTTTATGATACCTCTAACCGTTCCCGAGATATTCGCTAAAAACCATTCGCTCCTTTTTTACATATTAAAAAAGCGTTTTTCTCGAAAACTATTTGAAGTGCGAACGAAATTTTTTAATAGCATTTTCCTTATGTTATAAGGTATCAACGTTGTGAAAATCATCAAAATCGGAAACAAAAAATTTTCATCCAAAATCGGAATCCAAAACGTGATGCTAGCATCATGCTATAAATTCAGTTTTTCCTTATTTATTCGGCAACCGTTGAGAATATTAAAATGCAGTTTTTTTCACGTTATTCTAGCCCACAAGACAGTTCGAACGACGTCTAATTGAAGCTTCTACGTGCCCGGGAAGTGTGTGAAAAATTAAAAAAACTAACTAATTTTTCGTCCATTTTTTGGGCATTTTTACTCGTGAAATCTTTAAGCGCCTATAACTTTTGAACAAATCATCATAGGACATTGATGTTCCCAGATGAAATATTCTAAATCAAAAGATCTTTAACCCAGTATAAGAGTTTTTAAAATACCTCTCACCGTTCGCGAGATATAGCCCAAAAACTGTTTTAAATTTTCATGTTTGAAACAGTTAAATGCCCATATCTCGGAAAATATTCAAAATAGGGTCATGATGTGTATGAATGAAATATGCGCATTTAAAATATGTATCTGCAGGTGCAAAAATTTTTATGATACCTCTAACCGTTCCCGAGATATTCGCTAAAAACCATTCTGGTACATTTATACATACGCATTTGGCACTTCGAAAATATTATTTAGATGTTTTCGAGTATCAGGAGCACACGCGCACTCTCGATAGGATGGCTGTGAGAGCGTTTCTCGTTTGTTTACATTAGTATATATTATAACGTCATTCTCATTTGTTCCTTGCGGATGTCCAGTTTACTTTCATCTTACAAATATATGTTGTAGAGGACTATTATTAAAGTACCAATATGTTAAATATATCAGATCCTAAATTGAAGTAAGTTAGTAATAAGTTTAGTTATCATTAAATAAAAAATCGATAAAGATATATGTCAGAATCATTTCATAGCTATTCAACGCAAGTATATAGGTATTAAAAATATATTAAGTATTAAAAGAATATTACAAAAAATACATCTCTGTTGTTAAAATTATAATTATTATGGCTATCCATCGATATCCAAATGGCAACTATTATTTTTCCAGCGAATAGTAAAAACAATTATAATTATTTTTTCTATGTAACTACTATTCAATTCTGCATCATTCACAGTTTTCTCAATTTAATTCTCTTTCTATGTAAATATTTATTATAATACTTGCAATTTTTCGATATCATGATAAAATTGTCACTAAAATGTAAAATTATTGCAATTTCAGTCAAGTCATAAATAGTGCACAGAAAAGAAAATATATGTTTTGCAAAACTAATATCGATTCAAAAAATAATAATTGCTATTTTACCTATTCTCCATGGAAAACCACAATAATTATAATTTGTGAAATTCTATGTGTAAACATTGCTCACAGATATATATTTTTCAATATACTTTTAATATATGAAAAATAATAAAATCTAAATTTGGTTTAAGTCTTTCATATATTGAAATATATTAGTCAGAACTTATATGGCGAATGAAAATAATCAATAATAATAATTATTGTTTTATTCGGCGCGTTAAATTTTTTATTATGACTAATGAATATACTTATATACAAGATATAAATAAATTTTGGTTTTTTATAAATATTTCCATACTTATATACAGAATTTGTCGAAACGCGCGAAAACGACGAGCCTTATGCTTGCTCGTCGCTCTTGCAAAGCGACTTTATATGGGTGTTCTTATACCGGCAGCTTAAGTTTTTCCAACTTATCTCCCAAAGTTCCACTTAGATTTAAATGAATTTTTGAATAGTAAAAGAAAAATGTACAGGCTTTCGAATGATGCTAATATAAAAGTAGTCAACGAAGCTGCACTGGTAAATGAAAAATCATTTTCACCTTTTCAAGCACTAACAAATAATTTTTTCACATTATTTGTTATGAACAACATGGACAAGATCAATACAAATAGTATGACGTTAACAGTTTTTCGATATCTCTCATATTTCCGACAAAAAGTGAGTTTGAAAAAAGGGGCCACTTTCACATGATTTCACTGATATCTCGGCCAAATGATGAGCTACGGATTTGAAAATTGGTATTTCAAATTTTCTCGAAAATGCCTATAAAATGGCATCAAAATTATTTAAATACCAGGGTGGGGCCAATTCTGTATGGAAACACGCCCAGACCCTTTATATCCATTAGCTGTTAAAGAACTAAAGTTTTCTTTTTTACTTCTTTTACCTTCGAACTATTTTCTGCCTTTTAAAAGCAAATGGGATTTATTTTGCAATTAAACATTGCTACACTTTTAATTGATTAAGTAATTCAGACAACTAATTATCGAAGTGTGTAATTAGTAATAGACTTAGACTTTTAATTAAAAGGGTATAAGGGCACCTAATTACTTAGAATTGATTCAAAGAAACACTCTTGAAAATCAATTCAGTCGTGCATGTCTAACGATAAAGAATATTAATAAAAATTTTATTATAAATTAAAGGTTTTTTTTGGCATAAAATAAACAATTTGTAAATATTGGCTCTGGAGTAAAGTACAGTTCAATGGATTGTTTGATACAGGTAATAATATTAATAAATATTCATCTCTCTCCTGAACTATTCCGATCAATATGGTATAAATATGAGGTTTTTATTTTTTACCCCCAAAGACTGCCAAAGAATTTTCAGAAAATTGTACGGTGCACGGCCTCAAGCATGTGGTGACCGAAGGGGATGGGCAAAAGAGATCTTCTGGTAAAATTTGCCCAAATTTTTACCATATTGGAGGCTCTTTATGGATGTTCACCTGTGCAGTTGCAGGTGCAATGTTTGTCTTTATGAGCATTCTGATCTGGAGGCGATTTGATGGCAGTCCCACGGTTGTTACGGTAATTGAAAAAAATAGAAAAATTATTTACTTCAAATTTTATAGAATCATGCATGGAAAAAGTCGAGAAAAACAGTATTTTTTTTAGTTAGAAAAGCTGACATATTAGCAAACCATTTTCCAATTTTTAACTTCCCGAAGGAGAAGTTTATGTTTTCATAAAAAAATCCGATTCGCTAATTTTATGTTTTCTCGACGTTTCAAGCCGAATGGGACCAATTTTGGAAAAAGTATGTGTGTGTGTGTGTGTGTGCACAGATTTTTTGCCGTAAATCGACGTTTTCTCAAAAACGGCTGCACCGATTTTAAAAATTTAAAAGCCACTCGATGTATCGCCATGAGGACTAGCGTTACTGAATTTTGTGTGACGATTGGCCAAGCCGTTTCTTTGTAAATAGCAAAAAAGTGAAAAATTTTTCGTCCACGTTTAAGCCTGCAATTCTGAATCGATTTTGAAAATTCAAAAACCATTCGATAGATATTGGTTGGGAATCGTGCTGATTAGTTTTTGATAAAGATCGACCGAGCCGTTTTTTTGTAATAAAGTTTTATAAAAAAAAATTCAATTTTTATGATTTTTTTTTGACGTAGTTATCATAGAGTTCTAGATCATACTAAAATATTACGGCCCTACGACAAGCCGTTTAATTTTGAAAATTCTTTAAAGTTTGCAAAAATTAGTATCGTTTTTTGGCATTTGTCAAAATTAGACCTTTGATCGACGTTTTCTCAAAAACGCCTGAATAGATTTCAGAAATTTAAAAGCCATTTGATGTATCTCAATGAGGACTATCGTTTCTCAGTTTTGTGAGACGGTCCGCCAAGCCGTTTCTTTGTAATTTGAAAAAAAGTGTTAAACCTTTCGTCGACATTTAAGCTCATACTACCAAACCTATTTTAAAAAATCAAAAACTGTTCGAAAGATATTAGTTGGGAATGGTACTGATTAATTTTAGGTAAAAATCTACCGAGCCGTTTTTTTGTAATTAACTGTTGGAAAAAAAATTAAGCTGATTTTTATAGAATTTTTTTTAGCGATATATACCATGGTCTTATTGCGGCCTTACGACAAGTAATTTAATTTTAAAAATTCATCAAAGTTTGAGAAAATGAGTAGTTTTTTTGACGTTTGTTAAAATTAAAATTAGACAATTTACTTGGTATAACGATAGAGCACTTGATCTTAATGAACATACTAAACCATTAAAGTTCTATGGAATTTGGTTCAATTATAAAAATTATTCATTTTTGAAAATTTGCTTTTAGAAAATACTCCGAGTTAACGTATCCGTTCGTTTTCAAATATGTGTAATAAATCCACTCGGAATACTTTTAATCACTCATAAATTAATTTATTTTTTATTGATTAAGTCGATTATTTAAACATATCGGGAAGTTCATGTAACTTGCCTCAAGGCAAAATACCAATACCAACTAGTTTAGTTAGAAAAGCTGACATATTAGCAAACCATTTTCCTATTTTTAATGTTATTATTTTTCTATTTTTATTTCTATTTCTAGATAGAATCAATGAACTATCCAATTTGGAACTTCACATTTCCAGCAGTAACATTATGCAATGTTAACAAAGTATACGCACCACATACCCAAAATATTACAGAACTTCTGTAAGTTCACAAATTTTTCACAAAAAATTAAAAAATAATAATTATGACTAAAATAAAATTAATTTTAGATTGAATCTTGGCGAAAAGAAAGAAACCATTAATGATTTTTTCAGTAAATTAACTGCTCTTATACATCACGAAATCGTTAGCGAGGAAAATATTAAAATTTATAAAATCCTGGAAAAACTGGGATACGGGGTTGATAAACTTATGATGGAGGTAATAATATAATTGATTTAATATTTATGTAAACCAGAATTTTCAAAAATTATTTTTTTCAGTTAGCCCAGCCTTGTGAAACTATGCTCAGAAATTGTTTCTGGTTGGATTCTGAGCAGCCTTGCAACGAATTATTTCGTATGACAAGATCCATCGAAGGATATTGCTGTTCCTTCAATTATCACGCCTTATATTCCAAATTAGATATACAACAAGAAAAAAAGTACACAAAATACAATACTTGAAAAAAAACATTTACTGATACTAATTATATTTTATAGATATTTTATGGAAGAAAATGCCACAGGTGCAGGTCCTTCTATGGGCATCAGAGTTATTGCTGATGCTGAACCTCAACATTATGTTTCGACCATAAAAGCTTTTGCTGCAATCCAGGTAAAATAATATTTTTTTTGAAGTTATAGTAATGGGCCGAAAATCGAAAATGAATATTTTTGCATTTCTCGACGTTTTGAAGGTTTCTGAACATTTGTGTGTGTGTTTTGTATGTCCGCATTTTTCCGTCCACGTTTCCGGGCGCACGGATCAACGGATTTGAATGGTTTAAAAAACATTCGATTCCTATCAATAGCGAGATGTGCTGATTAGTTTTTGGCAAAGAAAGGTCAAGCCGTTACGGAGATATGGAGCAAAGAGTGCAGAAAATAGAAATCGAGTTTTTGAGAGAACGGAGCATCCGATTTGTATGATCCAAAAAACATTCAGTTCGTAATGAGTTATTAGTTTATTAGGTTTAGGTTATTAGTTTTTGGCAAAGGTAGGCCCAGCGGTTTCGGAGATACAGAGCTAAATGTTAAAAAATGGCCGTTTTTGAGAGAACTAATCGTCCGATTTAATTGATTCAAAGAACTTTCTGCTTGTCTTAACAAAATAATTGCTTTTGGAAAAAAATGTGTTTCTAATTTTTTTTTCAAAAAATTATTTTTGAAATTTTAGATTCAAAATTCAAAAAATTACCCAGGCTAAGCACAGTCTAAGCGCCACTCTGGTACAAATGTTTACCCAAGTGCGTTTAGACTGTACGTATATCTACTGGACCACTTTTCCAATTTTGTGAAAAAAACTATTGAAAATGTGAAAATGCCGCCAACATAAGCACAGTATAAGTGAAAATGTCGCACAGAATTATTTGCAAATGCGTTTAGACTGTGACTATACGGGAGCACTTTTTCAATTTTGTGTAAATTAGGCAACTATTTTTTTTTGAAATTGAATTCGAAATGAAATGACGATTGTTAATGTTCTGCAGATAAATTGATTTATGATTTACATTTGATTTGCTCAGATATAACAAGATAGCAAAAATAATGAAAGTTACAGTATTTGTAATAATACATATATTTGAAAACATTTAATATTCCTCGAACCAATTTGCCTTAAGGCACGATGCTATACACCACTAGTTATGATCAATATTAATCAAATCTCCAGGCAATGATTCATGATACCCATGCATATCCTGATATGTCTTCAAGTATTGTAAATATGCAACCAAATCAGGATGTGAGTATCCTGGTGCAACCAACTTTGTTAGCAAGTGCACCAGAAGTGCGATCTATGCCACCAGATCAAAGGAGGTGCTGGTATCCCCACGAGGTAAAAATTTATTTAAAATAATTATAAAAAATATTGCATTAATTAAATTAATATCTAATATTTAATATTTAATATTTAGCATGTTTCAAGGCTGTCCAATAAGTACAACTTTGATAATTGTGTAACAGAGTGTCGAGTCGATACAATTTTAAGATTGTGCGATTGCATACCTTTTTATTATCCAGATATAGGTTTGTTTAGACAATTTTGGTAATTAATAAAATTACTATTTTATAAACAATTCTGACTATTTCAGACATTCCTATAAATGGTGTTCAGAGAAGAACTTGTGATTTAACCGATGCACATTGTTTGAAAGTAAATGCTCGTAAGTATTTGTTAGGCACAACTAGTGTGAAATTTTCAAAAAAATGAATTTTCAATTTTTCCTTATTTCGACAGGTTATACCTTTTAAAATTTTAAATCGATATCTTAAATAGTTTTTGAGTCACAGTCAGTTAAAAAGTGTATATATAGTATATAATACAACGATTATTTTATCTTTAAACGCGTTTTTCTCGAAACAGCATTTTCCGAATTTGCTGCAGTAATTACTCAAAAACCAATGATCCGATCACTATCAATTTTTTTACATGTTCTATATATAGTTCTCCGTAAAATGAAATATCGATTTTTTGATCGGACCAAAAATCGAATTTTGGAAGTCCAAAAACGACCAAAATTTTGGGTAAAATTCGACTTTTTTTAAAAAAAAACGCCGTCATTTTGTCAATTTTTGATTTTTTTTTCTTTATCGTAGTTCATTTTACAGACAATATTATCTAGTTTAACGAGATTTTTTTTTCAAATTTCATCCACGTAAAAGGCCGGAATCATTGCAGCAGTGAAAGGCCTCATTTTTGTCGCGCCGTTGGAGATCGACGATAACTTAAATAATATTTAATTTTTTTCTATAAAAATTTTACTATGTATTCTTAAAACATGTATAAATATATTCCTAAAATTTTGAAATGATTGATAAAGTAGTTTATGTAATATAAATTCCCAAATATCACCTTTTTCTTAGGCGGTTACACTAGTTGTGCCCTTAATTTGCCGAAAAAAATAGTTTTTTCCCCAAGAATTTTTTTTTAATATTATGTTATCTCGACGAATTGAACATAGCTATTAAATCCGATTATTTAACAATATTGATATTTATCCATTACCCGAGAGACAATGTTCTCTTCTTGCTCCTACAGTTTCCAAAAACCCGCTTTCAAACTTTAAAATAAAAATTTACAACAAATGTATGATTCGCAATGATAACATAATTATACAAAACTTGAAAATTTGATCTGAAACAAAATTTAATGAGTCCTTTATCCTCTAGGTGAAATTTCTGGCCTACAATTAACACCAATAACATCAGATGATATCAATATTGAAAATTCGTGTGATTGTCGCCAAGCTTGTAATCAACGTTCTTACCAAATAAAAGTTGATAAAGGGATCAGACAAGAAAAAATACCAGTTCCTGTTCAATTATTGTAAAATCGTGTTATAAATAATAATAAAATAGTTATAATTAATAATAAAATAAAGATGGTCACTGATGTTTTATTTGCAGTGATACCAGAAATCTAACGAATTTAACAGAATTTAATCTGTATTTCAAGGAATTATCTTTTGTGAAGTATAGGAGAGATCCTTTCATGACATGGGATAGCTTATTAGGTAAAAATATTTCAAAAAAAATATGCAAGGGTTATAGTCTTTCAGTACTGTTTAGGCTATAGCTTTTGCATGGTTTTTTATACAAAACAGAACGAAAAAAAGTGTTCAAATTAGTTGGCGCAATTTTTGTTGAACCAAATTAATTTTTTGCCATCAAAATTGTTCTAGTAATTTTTATTTTTTTATTTTTAGCTTCCGTTGGAGGAATTTTTGGCTTATGTCTAGGAGGATCTGTAATAAGTCTTGTGGAATTAGTGTACTACTTCACGATGCGATTTTTTTACAACTGGAAACGTTCGAATAAAAACCTACAAAATAATCAACAAATATTTTGTAATAATATTGATAGAAATAACATGTTTTATTATAACAACCAGATTTATAATGAACATCGAAAAAGCTGTCCTAATCGTCTGCAAAAAATTAAGCGCTCGAGAAAATATAAATGGTCAAAATCAATAGTAAGAGATATACCGGAAAATGTATTTTTTAATGATGCAGTTTTACAAGATTTAAGAATATATTCACCAGAAAAGTAGTATTAAATTATTTGAGTAAGAAAAAAATATGTAGAATGTAATTTGATTCAAAATAAATATAGTGGTTATTATACATTAGTGTGAAAAATTTATTAATTTTTTAACTTTCCTTATGGTAAGTTATAGTAATGGGCCAAAAATCGAAAATGAAATTTTTTGCATATCTTAACGTTTCAGAGGTTTCTGAACATTTTAGCATACCTCAGAAAAAATAGATGTGCGTATGTGTGTGTGTTTTGCATTTTTTTGTCCACGTTTTCGGGCGCACGGATCAACCGATTTAAATGGTTCAAAAAACAAGCAATTCCTATTGATAAGGAGATGTGCTGATTAGTTTTTGGCAAAGGCAGGCCCAGCCGTTACGGAGATACAAAGCAAAGAGTGCAGAAAATAGAAATCTAGTTTTTGAGAAAACAGAGTATCCGATTTGCATGATCTAAAAAAACATTCAATTTGTAATGATTGGGAGAAGAGGTGATTAGTTTTTGGCAAAGGCAGGGCCAGCTATTTAGGATATACAGAGCTAAATGTGGAAAAAATAGCAGATTTTGAGTGAACTAAGCATCCGAATTGAAATATTCAAAAAACTTTCTGCTAGTATTGACAAAACAATTGCTTTTGAGGATAAAAAATTATTACATCTTTTTTTATTTTCCATAAAATATTGTTGTAATTTTGTATTTAAAATTGAAAAAATCCCCCAGGCAAAGCACAGTCTAAGCGCCACTCTGGTACAAATGTTTACCCAAGTGCGTTTAGACTGTTCATGTACCTACTGGAGCACTTTTTCAATTTTATGAAAACTATTGAAAAATGTGAAAATGCCGCCAAGCTAAGCACAGTATAAGTAAAAATATCGCATAGAATTATTTGCAAATGCGTTTAGGCTGTGACTATACGGGAGCACTTTTTCAATTTAGTGTAAATTAGACAACTATTTTTATTTTTTAAATTGAATTCGAAATGAAACGACGATTGTTAATGTTCTGGAGATAAATTGATTTATAATTTACATTTGATTTGCTCAGATATAACAAGATAGCAAAAATATTTAAAGTTACAGTATTTATATTAATATATTTGAAAACTATATTCGAAATTGCCTTAAGGCACGATGCCATACACCACTAGTTCTAAATGGATTTATCTTGATTTATCCAAAAAGTTATCATATATGGTATATAATTATATCCCTCGACTTACGCATTCGAGATTACATATGTTTACAGGAAGCAAACAATGCAGTTCAATGCATTTGAAAAACAACAATTGCTCTCATTTTTACGTCTTCTTGATTAACAATAAATTTGTAAACATCGAGAATGTGTCATACAAAATCATTGTTGAGCATTTGAGTCAACAATTTAAAAATAAGTAGAGATAAAGTTCAAAAGACCAGAGATTATTGTTATAACTCTGATTGACGTAATGACGTTGAAAAGTAATGACAATTATTATCGATCGATAAAGGAAAAAAATATATATACATATATATTTAATCTTATTATTATCCGACATTCAAGATATCTTTTTTCCAAGGAATAAATACAAAACTCTGTATAATATATCTCTGACGCCTTTATAGACCTTAGTTAAGGATTAAATGTATGGTGGCATTGACATTTTCCAGACGCCCATGTATCCTTACTTTAAAATTTCACATCCTTGGTTAAGGATCAGATGTTGGAAATTTCCTGTGGGCGATTATCCTACACACAATATATATATATATATATATATATATATATATATATATATATAAACAAGTTATTGTCACAGCTGGTGGTAACTCGAATAAGGCCACTAGGGGTCACGTAGAAATTCCTTCTGTTTTAGCTTAATAAGGATATAATTTAATTCACATCGCTAATTAATGCCACGTTATTTAGACTTTAGAGTAAGATAATATTAATATTAAAAAAATTAACAATTTTATTATAATTAAATAATTAGACGTAATTTGTTGCTAAATTAAAATTAATTATGAATTTGTGACAGTAAAATGCAAGTTAATTTTTTTCTCAGATTTTTGTATGTACTTAATTTTAAAGTAACTATTTGCTTTTAAGTACATTTTTTTAAACAAATTAACAATATTGATGCTTAAGCCTTATAATGTTATTACTAAAAAAAATTAACGAAATATTTGTATTGTCGATTTCTCAATTAAACATTTAAACGTAGAGTAAAATACAATTATTTTTGAATCTAATAAAACTAGTCCTTCAGTTTGAAGCAAATTAAATTAGTTCTTCAAGATTTGTCTATTGACTCCAAAAATAATTTTTTGTTTTTTAGTACAGTTTTTATTTTACTTATAAGCAAATAAACAAATTAATTTATAAATTCCTGGTCTAAACATTCCGAAATTTCTATTTTCTAGTAATGTTGCATTAAAAATTAATATTAAAAATTAACAGAATACAAATAGACAAATTAATTTATAAATTTCTGATATTTATAAATTTACTGTACATAGTCGATAGGAGTATAAATAAATAAATAAATAAATGAGTAAATAAATAAACTAAAATACTCCTGGATTTATCTTACTATCAATATAATTGAAATACAAGGTTTTTTAAAAAATGTTTACTATTATATATAACTAGAGAGAAATAAGTATAATTAATTTATTATTATAAGTATTAACTTATAATTTTACTTAAAACTAATTTATATTGTTTTACATATATATCACATTTTTAAAATTTCTTGCTTATTGATGAATTGAGATATATTAAGAAATATTATTAATTATAATAAAATATTATAGGATGAATAAATAATTTCTATTTCAAAAGATTTTAATTAATTAAGTTAATTATTCCAATTATTCTGTTACCTTAGAGGGAAATTAAACACTAGGTCACTGGGGCGAATCTGAATTGCTCTTATTTTAAAGAATAATTAAAAAGATGAATGACAAAGGATTAATAACGTGTTTAATTAATAAATAATGATAATATTTCCGCATTATAAGATATATTTCAGAATTAAATGTCAAGTCTAAATTGGAGGCAATTCGTAAAGTCTTTTATTATATTTCTTACATTTCTGTGTCTTGGGAAATATGATTCAGGCGTATTTTATAAGCAGATAACCATTTTTCTAAATAACAATTAATGAAGGCAATAAACAATTTAAATTAATTAATTAAAAAATGGTAATAAATTTAAATACATTCTATATACAATTAAAATTATAATACATTCTTTGGAAATTTACACATGATATTTATCAATAAATTATATTGAAATAATTGTATCTGAAAATAAAAATACATTTGAAACTTAAAATTTTATAATTCGGATTTGTTATTATATTGAAAGATTTATTTTTATTTATAGATATTTTTTTATTTAGATTTCCTATAATTAAATTAATTAGTGCTGCTATATCTATCGAAATATATGGTAATCCATTTAAAACCTTTCAAAAAAGTTCCAAACAGCACGACATCAATTATTACAAATCCATCCACGAATTCATTGGAAAAATGCTTAATTAAAATGTAACTTTCCAATAGACAAATATATGTAAATTCTAGAAAAAGTACATATTATCTACACATTATTGCCAACACATATATGTTTTTTCTCGGAAAATAAGAAAAAAAAGTGTGTCTTTAGTTTTTATTCCAATTTTAGTGCTTAACGACTCAGAATGACTTGCAATCACGAGAAAATTACTAAATTTAAAATTGTGGCAAAAACAAACTTTTTCGATTTAATATGTTGACAGTTAATTAAACAAAAAATCATTGATAACTGATGAATATATCATGAATAAACGCTGGACACCCATAAAATATTAATATTGAAAAACTATATCATCTACACATATTAAATAATATCACTACTAACCCATATATGTTTTTTAATCGACAAATAGGAGAAAAAAAAGTATGTCTTTGTTCTTCATTCTAATTTTGGTGCTTACCGATTCATAATGACTTGTTATCTCGAGAAAATTACTAAATTAGAAAATCGGAAATTCTGGTGAAAACAAACTTTTTCGAGAAGTTCATTAATATGTTAATAGGTCTAACATAACACCAACTATTAAAATTAGTAATATAAAAAAATCATTAATTAATGATGAATATATCTTGAATAAACGCTGTAAAACCACTAAATATTAATATTAAAAAATTATATCAACTCCTCTCGTAAAATGAATTTACAATTTTTATGTATATATATATATATATATATATATATATACATATATATAAATTTATATTTTATGTATATAGATGCTATATTTTTTATCAGTAAGATTCATCAAGTACTAAATTGTAGTATTAAAACAAAGAAATGGATTTTCCAATGCCATTGATAAAATGCTTATTAATCACTTCATATCTAATCAATCTAAATATTCATTCAAATTATTCTAAGACTAGAGATAATATATCTTGGTTCACATATTGAACTAATTTATTTTTACTATTATATCCATGCAAATCTTAAGTGAATATTGGATAATTTATTCAATTTATAGACCTCATTTATAAGTTCATCTTTTTCGAGTCAAAATTTATCCTTTTCAAATAGGTTTATGGGTATAAATTTAATAATATAATAATAAATTATTTACACCTTTGTCGTAAGATCGAATGAGTCTGGACAACATGATATCGTGCAGCAGCGATGTCAATTTTACTTGAAAATATAGATCAAAAATATGTTTCCAATAAAAAATAAGCACATTTTGGGCACTGCGATGTGAAATGACAATGGGAATTCTCTCACACTATTTCTAACTCTGCTTAGGAATTTGTCCTAAGGCAGTACTACCCATTATTATTTTCATTATCTATTTCTATGTAAGTTTAACATTG